CTTCAAAATATCTCCTTGAAATCCTGAATTCATTTCGATAACGCAATTTTTTTCGCAGTACGGAAATTCAATTATTATAGATTCATGAAAATGTGGTTTTCAATATTTCAAACAATTGTGGATAATATCCACACCTCGTCCTATCAGTTAATACTTCTCTGAACACATTTTCGAAAATGTGAAATATTTGAGCTACTTGTATGTATTGGAATTCGAAGGTTATGACCTATAGACAAGATTTCTTCAATAAATAACAGTCATTGTTGAGGGCTATTGTCCTCTTATTTGAATATTTTCTGTTTACGTCGCTTCGACTTGACTATGTAATGAATATTCCTCATGAAATTTCCATTGAATCAGGATGAATAAAGTGCCTAAACCTCCATTTCGCGATTAATGGTCATATGTGACATTTCAATATATTTTTCCAATATCCCGAATATAGTTTTACATTCAATTATTACAATATTGGACTGTGAAGCAAGTAACGACGTCAAAGCCAAGAATTCTCTTTAGAATAAAACAGTTCTATGCTTTCGAAAAATGCAACATCAGTTTTCTCAGTATTAGTTTTCTCAGTAGTTTTAAGTAACCAGTCTACCCTTTCAAAATAGTTGGAATTATGTCGTCCCTATTCTAGAATTTTTAGGTTATGTTGGCTTGCCGCACTGAGTCAGAAATTTTTGGTTTTCAATCTTGGCTGATTACTTTTACTCAGAAAAACACGATTCGCGTACCTAGTGATCACATCTTCACGGAGTGAGGAGTGGTGTTTGGAAAAATGCTGTGGGCGCTTCCTTCGAATGTATCAGGGATTTGAGTTCAGGATCCGACCGGAGGAACCTTTAAAAAAAATATTATAACCGTGTCTGAAGTATATATCGAGAAGACATACATACGTACTAGAAAATTAATATTTGGAAAAGTCTCGAACTATTCGACCACCTACACCGTAGGTTCTGGCAAATGCTTTTCGGAAAACAACTTGTTTCCGGCTAATACCACGCTGGATATTGAATTATATCCGACAGACATTTATTACGTCACAGAGGTTGTGAGTTTTGCAGATGTTTCTTGTTTTTTCAGCGGCAGGACCATGCTGTCGGATTCAATTCAATATCCAGCGTGGTAATGAGTGATTTTTTTGCTGGTATCTTTTTGGCAACACTGTTTTTGACAGATCACGCGTGAATCGTGTCTTGTGTCATTGTCAAACTTTATCCAAGTTTGGTCTATAATAATAATAATAATGCAGAAGCAGAAGGCTGTCATTCTTGGCTCACTGCGCTTGCTCAGGGCACATGATTCTTGGACCCAATGATCACTTACCCCACGGTGTAGGGAGTGGTCACTGGTTGATAATGCTGGCACGCCCTCCCGAATGTATCGGGGCTTCGGGGGATAGGGCCTGACCAGCGCACACTACAGTGAAAAAAAAAATAATAATAAGTTCAGAAACACTCGAGGGTATAACTGTGGCACCCCCAGAAACCGGAGGCACAAGCTTACCCATCTGTTTTATATGGATGATCTGAAACTTTATCCCTCTGGAGAGAAGGATCTCCATCAGTCCTTGAGGGTGGTGGAAGAGTACACGCATGCTATCGGTATGAAATTCTGGATAGACAAATGTGCAATGGTCCATCTCGAAAGAGGACGATGCGGGGACTACGGAGGGGATATGCAGCTCGTAGATGGAAGCATCCTACACTATCTGGATTCCGGAGAGACGTATACTTACCACGGGGTGGAACAACGCCACTCACAAGAGGTAACAGCAGTGAAAAACTCTCTCCGCGGCAAGTATCAGCATAAACTTCGACAGATCTGGTCATCGGAACTGTCGGGGAAGAACAAAGTTGCTGCAACAAATATGCTTGCCGTTCCAATCTTACTATATTCGTTTGGAGTAGTGAAATGGACACGGGAAGAGCTGTATCAACTCGACGTAAAGACCCGAAAAATTATGCATCTCTATAGGAGTTTGCATCTTAAATCGTCCGTTTCACGGTTGTACTTCTCCCGACAACAGGGAGGCCGTGGACTTTTGAGTCTGCAGTGTCTACATGACAGAATGGTGCTGGATACAGCCTGTAAAGTCGTCAGAAGTTCGGATCCCCTTCTCTGCATGCCTCGTGACCATGAGACAGCTGGAATTGGAGCATCTCTTTAGAGCAGCTGCCCGAGTAGCTGATGAACTCGGTATAGTTTTCGACACTGAACGAGGTGACCACAACTCTGTCACCGAGTTGGAACCTGTTCAGCAAAAAGCTCAGATAAACGCCGCAGAGATCACCTTACTCCTGCGGAAACACAAGGATAAGCCATTGCATGGGGTCTTCTTCAATAACATTGGAGACCTTGGCTTATCAAAGCGCCTGACCTTCGCTTTTCTCAGGTCGAGTGGGCTGAAGTCGGAAACTGAGGGGTTCATCATGGCTTGCCAGGATGGTGTCTTCAACACCTTAGTCTACCGCAGTCGCGTGATGGGTATAGAGGGTCCTGACACAAGGTGCAGGGCCTGCCGCGAGGCGCCCGAGACCCTAATGCACTTGCTATCAGCATGTCCAGCATATGCGGTCTTGGCCTATATCCATCAACATAACGCGGCCCCAAGAGTGCTATACTACCATCTACGGCACTCTAACGGTAGAAAATATAATCTCGACCCGAAACATCAAAGAAACCGACAGGAGTGAATTTACTTCTGTTTACTTATGTACGGTGACCGTGTCGTAGTATATCAGAAGTTCTTGCCAGATGATCGTACTGTCAATAAGGAGTATCATCTTGGAGTATCACGAGAAGCAATACTAAGAAATCGTCCGGTGTTGTGGAGAAACAATTCATGGCTTTTGCGTCACGTTAGTGCACCTGCTCGCTCGTCATTGCTTTTTCGTATTTTTTTGGCCAGAAACAACACCGTTATCCTGCCTCAGATACCATATCCACCAGATTTGCTCCCCTGGAACTTTTTCCTATTCTAAAGATTGAAGAAACTCAAAGAAAAATTGAAAACATAAACAATAGTATTCGTTCTGGATCAAGAATGAAAATAATTTCAAAAGCTGTGCAATGAAAGTGAAGTAAATTATTATAATGTTACCTTTCACTCGACTTGTCTTGTCATTCCATGTGACATTAACTTTTGTCTCGAGGAAAGACGAAAATCTCGTGTATCGGTGGCTACATTATTTCAGCGTCACTATCATTTTCCATTATTTATGATAATCTTAAATTTACATTAACGAAATTATCGATTCAGTTTCGTCTATTCATGTTGAACTCAGAATGTGATTTTTTTCATTGAAATTAAATGTTTCCGCATCGTTCGAAGGCTTTTTGAAACTTACTTGGAAAATGATTATGATAATTATGTTTCACAGAAAGTTCCAATTCCTGTTCAGCGCAATAATACAAAGATAGCAGATGAATATTCAAAATGTTCATTTCTATGCAAGGGCCAAAAAATGTTTGATTCCATTCCTCGACAATCTACCTAATTACCATTAACGATATCACAAATAATGGTAAATACATGTAAAGTATATACAGCAATAACCCAATATTCCCATTGTTTTTTCTCTTTCCAAATACCTCAAACATACAGTTTTGTACGGTAATTTGTGTTGAGCTGATCTAAGTTGTATAAATTTCGTTTTGTGTAATGGCTCTTCTTCTGAAAAAAATATACCTAGGATATTTCTGGTTATTTGAAGATATAGCGGGTAAGTTGAAAACATGATCTATCGTTTATCAAGGGTGAAAAATCAAATTTCAACTGTTAATACAATCTCTATTTCGAATATACTATGTTCTAGCATAGTAGCGAGTAGCGTCGAGTTTTCAAAAATATGCAAGGTTCAATTCTTGAATAATTTAATTATGAAAATACTGATTCAATTTGAATAATTACATCGCCAACTAATAACACAATGACTTGACGTCGGATAAACGTCATCTACGAAACCGCCATCTATGGAATCGACAGAAACATCAAGTCAGGTTAGTTGAAGAAAAACGAGGGTTTCGCAGTTGACTGTTGCAAATCAGAGAATCGACTACCGAATGAGAAACCATTCCTCAATACTTTGAAACCGATCAGTCAACCTGTCGTTCAAAACTTGTTACCTTCACCATCCAATATCAGACAGCTTCCATTTATCTCATCAGCTTTTCTATATCAAATCATGCGTGTAGCTATTGAAGTTGGGTGTTCCCAACGAAAATGATATTGAATAAAAATCTGTTTGAGATCGGTTTTTCCGTTAACCAGCTGTCGCACCCCTACGAACGACAACCCTCAGAAGTCGAAACTTGTGCGAGCTTAGGATTAACGAGGTCTTACCTTTTAACGTGTGATTCCTAACACGGGTTGGACGATAGCAAGTGGAAATCGATCGTTCAGACTGGGGTTTGAACCACCGACCAACACTGCGGTCAATTTGAGTGAGTGAACAAAGCCCCTACGCCGAACCGCTTGGCTACTAAAAAATACGCTTTTAAAGAACATCGAACTGAAAAGTTAGAAATATTTTTTTAATGAGCTTAAAACAATAACGAACGAAAAATACTAGTATTTTTATTATCTGAAGATCAAGATCTTCAGATGATGTGGTGCTGCAGGTTTTTCCGGGTTTTCCTGCAACTGAAAAAGCAAATGCGCTGGAATCAATGAAGTCGCCCCGGAGCACCAATTAATTTCTATTGTTGTTTTCATTTTATTTTTATCGTTGTTTCAATAAAATATGAACTGAATTTTGTAGGTGTACAATTTACGATAAAGTTTTCACTGTTGAAATCCATATTCTGGTTTGCTTTTATATAAATTAGATTTTGAAATGTATCTTCCGTTTCGTTAAAAACTTTTTTCTGTACTGAATCACGGGTAATTGTGAATATTTAAAAATTCCATCTGTAGTAAAAAATTACTACACTTATCATTCTTAAAATTTTTATTTTGATTTTCTTCCGAACAACCTATCAAGGAAGTTACGTATAATGGCATCTGCCCGCGAATAGCTCAAGCAATAATTGATAGTTACGTACAGCGCCATCTGCCCGCAAACAGATCAAGCAATAATTGATAGTTATGTACAGCGCCATCTGCCCGCGAATAGATCAAGCAATAATGCCGATAATTCTGTCAATACAGATCCTGAGCTAGAGAGTTACAAGCAAACTTACATACAAACAAACATACATACATATACAGGTGAAGCTAATATAAATCGTGTAAAAAAGAAAACGCTCTTCTCCAAACATAAATGAAGATTTATGTTGGAATGACTATCCATTCATATTTTTCTAATAATAAAAATTGGATAACACAACACACATATTGTAATAGGTCTTATCTGTCTGATTTTCTAAGAACCTACTTTCGGCCTCTCATTTTTGCATTATTAAAATATAAACATAGACACATATAAATTATGAAGATACATGTATTTTTATGTACTTCAGAGGAACTCAGAAAGAATAAATGAGTCGATGAAAGGGGATTTCTCTTATGATAATAATACGGTCCCTTTCAAATATCTACTAACGAATACAAAGGTATATTTCTGAACGTAAATACTCATTGACATCTATCTAGTTCATTGTATGAGTACTTTTTTCAATGTTTGTCATATTCCTCCGGAGATAATGGAGATATGCTTGAATTCTGTGATACAGGGCTCCACATTCACATAGAACATAACAAGCTGTATCTATTCCGATATTGAATTACAAGTACCTATTAGAAATACCTCGGCATCGGCATGATATCCACCTATTACAAATACGAGGTATTTCTAATAGGTAACCCATAACTATATTGTACCATTCATTCAAAGTAGACTCATGTGAATGATATCTGATTCTTATTCCTCCACGAATGTTCGATATACAAAC